TTTCTTGCTCTAATGGCAAAGTTAAATAGTTGGGGCAGATCTCGCCTGCAAAGCCTAAAAGACTTACATGTGTGGCCCTTTGTAGAAAACGTTTGGTCTGTGCTGGTGCCCCTAGAGTTGTTGGTCACAGCCCCTGTCAGAGGTGCCTCCGGGGCCTGTCAGTTCCCCCACCTCAGAAGCTCCTGGGAAAGAGCTGAGAGGGAAGGGCAGAGGAAGAGCATGCCTTCCTGAGCTGGCAGAGCTGCCGCTGGCCTCGGGGAGCCTGCTTCCCTCTGGAGCAGAAATGCAATGGGAGGCACAAGGCCCTGACTCCACTGGCGTGGCCTCTACCCCCGGCACACCGGGTTGGGGTGGGAATCCAGCGGTTCAGGGAGCCGCGCATGGGCTCCGCTCTGGCCCCTGAACCACCTCCCAGGACCCTCTAGGTGAGGCAGTGTCAGGCTGTCCCCATGACGGGGGCAGAAATAGAATATTGGGGACCAGCTAGAATTTCAAGAAATAGTAACCGTGCTCTGTTAACCAGGATTGTTTTGTTCTGATTAAAGAAGGCACATTCTAACCTGACAGAGCTGCACGCAGGACCTGGGAGCTCACCTGGAGATGCAGCCCCCTCCCCATCCGGAGCTGCCTAGTATCATGGAAAGATTAACAGCCTTGTTGCAGAAACCAGAGCCACCAGCCCTTTGAAGGCCTCCATCCGTTTGCATATCACCAGCCCTTTTAAGACTCCCAGCCCTTTGCATACCCACAGGCCTTTGCAAATCCCCAGCCCGCATTATCTGTAAACTGCCCATTTGGCATACCTTTTGCCTACTTCCCCATGTGATCTTTGTCCTTCTCCCCAATATAAGCAGAGGCTTATGGTGGAGGGCAGAGCAGATTTTTGGGGATGACCCGCTGCTCTCCCATACTGCCGGCAGGATTGGAATGAATGCTCATAATAATTCCACCCTGTCTCTGCTTAATTGCGGACCCATTGGTTGTCCGGTTACACCTAGAGAAGAGCTGGGTGGCTGTGGTCCTGGCGCTGGTGTAGTACAGTCTGCAGGGGCTCAGGGAGACGGGAAAAGGCAACAAGGTTAGTGAGAGAGAGTGGAGCAGTCCACACCCTTTCCCCATGTGAAGCTGCCCTGCTCTGAACTGAAGACAGTGGACGGAGGCTCTTGGCGGGGGTGGGTGGGTGCTTTGTTGGTTGGTTAGTGACTGTTGGTTCAAACCAACAAAGAGTTAGTCACCCAAATGTCTCTCCAGACTTCCTTTCAGAACTCCTTCGGTCCATGAAATCCAGTCACCTGGCAACACTGGTCCAGGGCCCTCCTCAGCCAGGAGGTGTGGGCCCCGAGGACTGTGAGTGCCCAGCACGCTCCTCGGGGAACGCCCATAGCTTTTATCCGATTTTCAAAGGTCCCTGCTTCCCCTCCACGTTCCCGACACTGGCAGCAGCCACTCCAGTCTGACCCTGCATTGGCCGGGAGACAGGCCCAGAGAGGGCACTGCTGCCCAAGGATCCCCTCCCACCCTGTGACTCAGTCCTGCGAGGCCCAGGCCCAAGGGACTGGGGTGGGGGTGTGTGTCTTCGGGTTCATCTCCCCATTGAGATGGAGGAAGTGAGCAAGATGTGGAGGCCGGGGCAGTGCTGCTGTGGGGGAGGAGCAAGCTGTCCTGTGCCCTCCAGGCTCTGCTGGCTGGTCTGACAACCACGCAGACGCGAGACAGGTGTGCAGGAGAAAATAACCTCAATACATGCACATGCATGGGGACCACATGCATGAGAGACAGAGACACATGCAGGGGAGGTTCAGAGACAGAAGGAAGCAGATGCTTCGTGAAGTTTGTCCTGCCCTCTAGACAGGTCCAAAGGTTGTCCCTAATTCAAGGCCCCTCGTTCCAGTTCTTCTAGGTCAAATATGTCAAACTCATGGCTGGTGGGCCGCATGTTTGACATGCTAGTTCTAGGTAGGTAAGGGAGGGGCAAGTTTCTCTTGAGCCTGAAGCTAAAATTGCCTTTAGCTTAAAATAAGCCGCCTAGCACTGAGGTACGTCTTGGGGTGGGTCATTCTGAACCCCCATACTGGGTTGAGTAAGCAGCTATCTGACCAGTATCTGCTTTGTCAGAGCCCTGTCCCCCAAGTTTTCTGTGGGGAATGGTGGAAGGTGCGGTGCAGGGTCACCTGGAGGCACGGGGGAGGAGGTGGAGGGAGGGGGCGGGCGCAGCGCCTGCCCTGGGCTTTTGCTGAGCAGTGGTGTTCTCATCTCTGGAAGGGCTGACCATCCCACTGGGCCCCTCGGGAAGCTTTAGCCGTAAAGGCAGTGCTGGTAAGTCTTTGCATTGCCCTTTTCAAAGGACCCATTCCTGCTCCTTCCTGAGGCTGGAAGTCCAGCAGCTGGTGCAGGAGGGGTCAGCGGGCACTGGGGCCCAGCTCACGCTGCCCAGGTGCACCCACTGCTCCGCACTACGTGGTGTCCTTGAAACAGCACGCTGGTAGCAGGTTAGAAATTAATGCAACTTTTGAGTGATTGTAGAGATAGTACCACACATGTGCCCTCCCTGCTCAGGAAGTCCCGGAGCCAGGTGCCCCTTCCCACGGAGCCAGAGGACCAGGCACGACGAGAGCTCAAGCGCCAGACTCCATGCAAGGTGTCCGTGGCACAGGAGGCCCCCATGCAGGAGCCCTACCGTACCTTCCCATAACCGACCTAGTTCCAAAGCTGCCAACCTGCCCGCCAGCACCTTCGTATGCCCGCTTGTCCCCTAACCCTAAAAACTCAGCCCGACCTCGGCAGGGAGCAGACTGGTTGAGCTTGGCTCTGGTCTGCATGCTGGCTGCCTGACAAATGAATCCTCTTCTGAGGGACAGCCTGGTGCCTCGGGCCTCGGCTCTCTGGGCCACCAGCGGCAAGCCCATGGGCCCTTGTTTGGTAGCATCGGCTGGCGGGAGGAGGATGAACCCTGGAACGGAAATAGAGCTGACAGATGACAGGATGGCTGGCCTTTAAGAGGGGAGGGGAAGGCATATGTCAACACAATGAAACAGAAGAAGATAAAACCTAGCCCCTTCCCCAGGGAAAGGCCCTCAGCAGGGCATGCTGGGAGGTGGGCTGCAGACAGGGCCCAGCAGGGCCTGAGACATGGGCAGTGGAGGCGTCACCTATTTTTAATCTGAAATTTATATAAAACTAGAGGCCCGGTGCATGAAATTCATGCATGGGAAGGGTCCCTAGGCCTGGCTGGCGATCAGGGCCAATCTGTGGGTCCACCAGTAGGGCGATCAGGGGCCCCCACTGGCACCTGCCTTGGCTGGCCTGAGGCCTGCGGGCTGGAGGCAGCTCCTGCGTTGAGCGTCTGCCTCCTGGTGGTCGGTGCACATCATAGCAACCGGTTGTTCTGCCAGTCATTCTGCCGTTTGGTTTATTTGCATAACCGGCTTTTATTATATAGGAGGCATGTGCCTATTGAGATCATATGACATATAACTTTGCGGCTTGCTTTTTTCACTTAACCAGTTTAATACTTTTCTGTCAGAACATCTGTATTTACCTTATTCTTTTTAACTAATGCAGAATTAAGTTCACTAAATTAAATTAGTCAACTAAATCCTCATTGCTATAGATTTTAGGTTGCTTAAGAAAAAAGGCAGAAAGTCACACCCTTGAAATTAACTTTGTATACTTGGGTGTGTGTGGGTCATTGTGAAGATAAATTCCTAGATGTAGAAAAATGGGATGGAGGCATTTTAAGGTGTAAAACTGATCCCCAAAATTATTCCCTTATCTTCCCACTGTGAAACTATGAGTTTCTTCCCCGGCATGGCAATATGTGGGTATTTTTAAAATTGTTACAGAAATGATTCCCTCATATCTCACTGATGTTTTGCTTTGCATTTCCCAGATACATGATTTTGAGCATCTTTTGTAGGCTGCTCATTTCTGCTGATGTCAATTTCCATGCCTTGACCATTTCACTTGGATTTTTATTTGTATTTTACATTGAATCATGGGTGACTTTTATGATGTAAGAACATTAACACTCTGCTTTTACATAAGTGGCAAAGAAGTACAATTTGTGAGTTTTTTCCAACATTTTATTATGAGTAATCTAAAAGGCTAATATGCAAAGTGTCCCCTTGGGAATTTGACTGGGAATTTGATCGCTCACTATGACATGCACTGACCACCAGGGGGCGTCCCAGAACAAAGGAAGGCCCCGGCTGGCAGCCAGAAGGCCCCAATCGGCCCTGATCTCCGGCCAGGCCTAGGGACCCTACTCGTGCACAAATTTCGTGCATCGGGCCTCTAGTTTGAAATATAAAAGTTTGAATAATTGTACAGTGAGCATGCACATGCCCTAGGTTCTGCAGTTAAAGTTATATATGCTTGACCATATAGCCCATCTATGCACCACTTTACCCACCCATCAACTTATTTTTTTCTTGCATTTCAGAGTAGATTGCAGCTGTAAGTACACCTCACTGCATCCACTCCAGTCTGCATATTGTTACCTAGAGTTCCATGCTGGTTTATGGCTCTTTTTGTTCTTAGCTAGATTTACAGAGGAAAAGGCACAGATCTCCAGACAGCATTGGATGAGTTTTGACAAATGTATGTACCTATGTAACCCAACCTGCTATCAACATACAGAACATTACCTCAGTCCTGAGAATTCTGATGGCCTTTTCAGTCCACCCCGTCCCATTGCTCCCAAGCAAACAAGGCTCTGATTTCTTGGTTTTAGCTTACCCTAGAGCTTAATTTTAATGGAGTCATACAGTACATACACTTTTATATAAGAGTTCTTTCTGCTAGCGCATTGCTTTTGAGTTTCATCCATGCTATTGAATGTTAGCTCATTCCTTTTTATTGTTTACTAGAGGCCTGATGCACGAAATTCATGCAAGAGTAGGCCTCCCTTCCCCTGGCTACCGGCACTGGCTTCCCTCTGGCACCTGGGACCTGGGCTTCCCTTGTAGCCCCAGCTTCATCTGGAAGGACGTCCAGTCTAATTAGCATATTACACTTTTATTATTATAGATTGATAGGCCATTGTATATATAAACCAATCACTTCATCCAATTTCTTATTGCTGGATACTAGAGTTTACAGTTTTTGGCTACTATGAGTAGAACTGCTAAGAATATTTTTGTGAATAAGTGTCTTCATTTCTCTTGGGTAAATACCTAGGAATGCTGGTTCAGAAAGGGTAGGGATATGTTTAGTTTTATAAGAAACCAAACACGTGTTTTCCAAAACAGGTGGGCCATTATATCCTCACCAACAACATCTGAAGGTTAATCCATATGCTTGACAACATTTGGGTTGTCAGTCACCAACACAACACACAAGGACTTCAACCCTTCCTGCAGATGTGTCATCATGTTGCATTGTGCTTTTAATGTGTCATTTCCTAACGACTAACTGTGTTGATCATCTGTATGTGCATCCTGTCATGTGCTTACTTGCCACTCACAAACACTGCCAGGCCCTTTGTCCAAGGGGCTGTCACACTGCAGCCACTGGCCACATCCAGCCTCGGCCTGATTTCCTAAGGCCCTTGAGCCAGCAATGTGTTTCACATTTCTAAAGGGTTGCTTTAAAAAATGCAACAAATTGTAGATAGCCTGCCAAACCTAAAATATGTATAGAAGAAATTTTGCTGACCCTGCTATATATTGAAAGTGGGTCTGTCGTATATAGCATATTGCTGGGTATTGCTTTTAATGTTACTTATTCAGCTAGCAGGGTAAACAATTTATGTAAATGTGGGGAAAATCTGTGTCTAGGATTCTGGTCAAAGGCACTAGTATCATTGGTTTCAATCAAATATGTGGAGCTGACTTAACTTGAAATGGGCGAGGCATCACTACAGCCCTGGTGTTACCTACAGCTGAGCTTTGTCGGGGTGAACATAACACAAACTGGGCTTTGAACCTTCTGGTGTTTCCTCAGTATTTTCAGTGCAGCTTGGGACCTAGAAAATATGTGGGTCAACACATCTGCCCTGGACAACAAGCCTGGAAGTCCATGGCTTGAGTGAACTTCTCCGTTCACCGAGTGGAGAAAACACAAACCATCTCTTCGCTGGGTGGCCCCTCTGGGTCCCTCTTGCATCCGCAGTGGAAAGCACGTGCTGACATAAGTGAACACAGGACCCGGTCTCCTTCATACAGGGACTCTGCGGCGAGTGCAGCTTGGTCGTTACCCTGTGAAGCCAGATGTGATGCCCTTCGGGGGGCAAGGGGAGAAGTGGGTTCTCAGAGTTGGGCTAAGGAAGCCCATCGCTGGCTCAGCGGTCACTTTGGAGATGGCATTTTCCGTGGGGGAAGCTGCTGCTCAGGTGTACTGACGGTGTACCATCCCCACTTTCTGTCCCCGAAAATGCTCTTAAATATGAGTCAGCCTATTCGTGGGCATCAAGGTTAATGTAGAGAAAGCTGGTACTGCAGTGGGGTACTGATGTTTTAAAATCTATTCCAATAATCTCTGCCTTTTTGTAGGAGTTTTTAGTCCATTAACATTGGATGTCATTATTGATATGGTTGATTCTGTGTCTACAATTTTATAATTTGATTTCTGTTTGTCCCCTCTGTTTTTATTTTTTCATTTATTTACATAGTTTAGAATACCACCTATTGGTTTTTAGCTATATATTATTTTTAGTGATTATAATATACCCACTTAAAATTTTGCCAATTACTTAGACTATTGGGCCAGTTGATATAAAATGTAGAAACCATGTCAATGAAAAAGTCCATTTAATACCCATTGTATTTTATGCTATCTTTATATGTATGATGTAAACCTAAAATGTCATCTATATTTTAAAGGAATTAAGAGTAGGAAAGTCTCTTAATTTAATAAATATTTACCATTTCTGATCCTCTCCCTTCCTTCCTGAGGATCTGAGTGTCCATCAAGTGTCGTTTCCCTTCAGCCTGTAGAATTCCCTTTAGCATTTCTTGTAATAGATATCTGCTGGCCACAGATTCTCTTAGTTTTATTTACCTGAAACTTTATTTTATTTCCATATTTGAAGGATATTTTTTGCTGGTTACAGAATTCTGTGTGGGTGATTGTTTTCTTTTAATGCTTTAAAAAGAAAGCTGTTCCATTGTCTTCTGGCCCAATGCTCCATTGTCTTCTGATGAAAAGTCCACCTGTAAATAAAATTATTCCATTGCATGTTGTCTGTGTCACTGCTTTCAAGATTTTCTCTTTAACTCTGGTTTTGAGGAGTTTGACTCTGAAGTGTGGCTTACTTTGTATTTATTCTGCTTGGGTTTGGTTGGGAGGCTTTTGCCTCGATCAGGGGTGGGGAACATCCGGCCCATGGGCCATGTACGGCCGGCAAGATCATTTGGTTTGATCTTGCCAAGGCATTGGGGTGAGTTAATTAAATGTTTGACCTAATACAGCAAGCTCATTTTTAAGTTGGTAACTTTGTATGGCCTTCAAGTGATGTTATAAATATCCAAATGGCCCTTAGCAGAAAAAAGGTTCCCCAGCCCTAACCAGTTTGGCTCAGTGGATAGAGCATCAGCCTACAGACTGAAAGGTTCCAGGTTCGATTCCAGTCAAGGGCATGTACCTTGGTTGCGGGTACATCCCCAGTAGGAGGTGTGCAGGAGGCAGCTGATCGATGTTTCTAACTCTCTGTCCCTCTCCCTTCCTCTCTGTAAAAAATCAATAAAATATATTTTTAAAAAA